ACAGTAAGCGGAGAGGGAGGAAGAAAAGCACTGCTAAAGGTTGCGCTGTACCATCTCAGTGTAATAAATTAGAAATGTTTTGAAATTGCTCTAAAAATGTTTTCAGATCTCACACCAGATCTATGGGATAAATTGCTTCCACACGATCAACATGCTCAATAATTATGGTGCTTTACTGATCACCCGAAATCGGTAAATGGCCACTAATTAATAAATGTTCCAAAGATTTGGGAGTGACATAGGCAAGCATTATTTCTAAAAACGATGCGATCATGGACGAAGAGATACTGTACGGTTTTGTGGTCGAAATTTTCTCAAAAAGGTCAGAGGTGAGGGAGAATGTGGAGAAAGGAATACAGTGAAATTTGTACATAATTATGTATAAAGGGGCCCGGTTAATAATTTTTGGAATTGTCTCAAATATGTTATCAAAAGTGCTTAAATATAAAATGTTGAAAATAGCCAACTTTTTTCTAATACAATTGAAATTTATCATAAACTGTTGAGCAGAAAAGCTATTCTCACGGAAGACCAAGTAGCCTCGCCTTTTCGAATTTATTACTTTTATAATATTTTTACTTTCATTATTTCCTGCCTTTTGTGAAGGTTTCTGTATCTGCTATATTCAGAAATTCTCAAATGCTTTTTTTCTACTACCTCAATAGCGAAGGGTTATTGAGGTACAGAACAGATGCACGTGGCATTTAGGAGTTCAGTGGAAAGCAGCGCAGAGAGAGAGTATATGTGTGTTAACACGTAAAGTAGCTTATGAAGGTATTACTCGGACCTGAAACATTATGTGGTTTTTCTGACTAGTAAATTCTTCGTTCATTCATTTATAAAACACAGATCGTACATTGTACATTCGAGCAAGAAAGAACGATCACGACGCAGAAAGGCTACTAAATAACATTACTAAAATATAACTGTAATAAATAACGATGTAACAGAAATAGCAAGACTGAAATAATGCTGTATATAATATGATTATAAATTGTCAGTGACTGGATCTTTTGCAGTGAGGAATAATAACAGGGAATTAATAAATAATTATAATTAATAACAATAAAAAAAATTGGCCAACGCACGGGCTGCCCGTGCGAAGATGCGTTTTTTGCATGGTTCCCCGT